TTGCTGCCAGATGTCAGCAGAGCAAATCCGAATCTGTTTTCAACTGCCTTTCCAAGAGAAACAAAGGTTGAATCACATTTGAAACATTCAAGAATAAATTTGAGGGAGTGAGGACGGGCAAAACTTTTTCTGTTTTCATTTAATTCAAACCCCCTTTTTTCTCATGGGTATTTTTATTCCAAGGCCATGTCGGTCAACCCTCTCCTGACAGTAGTTTAATGCGTCTTTGCAGGTCATTTGCTGAGCACGGCAGAGGTGGAGTCAGCATTGGTGGAGCACGAGGCCGTCGCCGAGGCCGCCGTGGTGGGTCGGCATCACCCCGTCAAAGGAGAAAGTCTCTACTGCTTTGTGACATTACGTGACGGTGTCGCCTTCAATCACATGTTGGAGGTCCAGCTCAAAAATCAAGGTGGCTTCAGTAAAATGCTCCGGATTCTCTTTCTTTGGTGTTTTCATGACTTGGCTCAATCTTTTTTTCATAAAGCCAACACTTGTGTATTTGTTCTCATTTTTCTTGAATTGAACTCAATAATGATGGGCCAATAAAAGGCCATTGTGAAATGTGGACTTTTATTTCAGGATTTTATTTGAGTTCAATTCATAAAAGATGGGTGTAAAAACACATGTTCTGTTTTATCTTTATTTTTCTAGATTTACATATTTGGTCAGTATATGAGTATGATGTGCATCATGATATTAAATAAAATACTGCTCAGTGCTGAAAGATTTTTTTACTGCAAAAACATTTTGATTAAAAGAAAAAAAATATTTAAAAACGTTCCCTGAAAACTGTTGTACAATAACACTGGATAGAAATCATCATTTAATTTGTTTAAGAAAAATGTTTATGTATTATTGTGTTTAATTTTATAGAATAAATTCAAATAAAAATCTCCAGGAAAAAAAGCAAATTGGTAATATTACAATAATAGTTACGGTATATTTTTGGGTTGGGGGGGGCTGCTCCTTGGTAAGTGTGAGTTTGGTCAATTGTGATTTTCTCCCCACCCCCAATTGTTTCTTGGTCAACAGTGCGTGAAAAGATCGGTGCCATTGCCACACCCGACTTCATTCAAGACGCTCCAGCGCTCCCCAAGACCAGATCAGGTACGAATTGGGGTGCAAAAATCCAGAAATTGTAGCTGTAGTTATGCTCTGTGGTGACAGGGGAGTTACTCACTTCACAAGTGGCAGTTTGGTAGATAGAATTAGTAAATATTCTTCCCCAAAAAAAGAGACATCACAAGTGGTATTAAATTCAAGTCAGTTCTATAAAGTCATCTTGGTTATGCTAAACAACTTTGCAGATTCATGGACGATTGTCAGTAGTCTCCTGAGCATTGGCTCCCTTCGCTCGCACGGAGGCAATATTTGGCTTTTGATGACGTATAGGTTGGATGGGTTACAGATGAACGTTCATACTGCAGACACATCACATACATATCCAATTTATACCAACAGACGAAAGAGGCTCAGGTCGGATTTGAAAAAATCTGAACTGTACTATTCACACTGCATAAAAAAAAAAATCTGATACATGTTGCAAATGGGCGAAAAAAAAATGCAATTCAGTTGGTGTGAACATAGCCATAGTCATATTTTGGGGGGGAGATTTATTCTACAAAAACCAAGACCAAGAACAGTGGAGCTCGAACTTGCACCCAAAATCCTTGTTCCCTAATCATGGGTTTTTTCGAATATACGCTTTGAACACACACCTGTTTCATTCCGATTGTTCGGAAACTCAGTGCTTTATTTAAATGTGCCGTTCAGTTATTCAGAGTGCACCAGTAAAGGAGCGCTGGAGCCCAGTACCTCAGGCAGTACACATGGAAACCGTGCAAGCATGAGCTGCTGATCGCTTTATGACGAACGCTACTCTTGGAAATTAATAGGAGCGGAGAACACTTTGCCTTTCCAAACACACACTTTTTCAGTGATTGTAGGTGTTTTTATGAATCTATGAATTTATGAATCCCCCCCCCACCCCCATTTCTTCTACCTTTGTTTGGAAGTTTGCAATACAAATACCTTTGGTGTATTATCGGCAGCTTCTTTAGCATGCTTTCAAGAAGGTGGCCACTGGCAGTAATGTGATAAGATTTTGGCATTAAAAGTTTTACTGGTGACATTTTTTTTTCTAAGAATCAGTCACCTTTTCAATGATAACCACTGCCAATAAGTCAAATACTCAACTGTAAAGTGAATTGATTTTCAGAATGAAATTCAGTCGCGTATGCCTTTACCATTATTGATCAAAGTATATGAATATGACCCAATCCTTCCTCAATCAAGCGGCACGAATGGAACATTTCCCAAAAGATTGGACTTTTTCCGTTGCCGGTTTTGAGATGGCGGTATATCTTGAAAACCGGTTAACTGGCCCATGCCTGATTTATGTATCGTAATCCTTACCCTAAAGTGTCGTCTCTTCCAGGCAAGATCATGCGCCGCGTGCTGCGCAAGATCGCCGGTGGCGAGCGGGACCTGGGCGACATCTCCACGCTGGCCGACTCTTCGGTGGTAGAGCAGCTTTTCCAGAACAGATGCTCCACACCCGTGTGACAACATGTCAGGATACCGGATCCTTTGACTTACTCATGACCTGATCTTCTGCTAACAAAGGACAATAATTGAAGAACAAGGTGTGACTGTGCGAGGCTGAATAGATACCTTTTTTTTTTTCACTCTCTGACACACACCCAATATGAATTAAGCTTACTTTAATTTATGTCGTAAATGTTTTTCCTTAATTTGCTTTGTGGCATGTCTGCTCTTTGTATTCTTTTGTTTTTTTTTTTTCTTTGTCTTGTGTTTTTAAACAAAGATGTTTTTGATTAAAACATAAAAAAAGATGTTTGTGGTCTGGTCAACTTTGTCTTCAAAGTGTGCGCTCGCACAAGAACAAGGCTGCAGGCATGGCTTAAGACAACATTTATGTTTTGGGTCATTTTCATCTAACGGCATTGTTATTGATCCAATAACGGTAAATACACCTGTTTAAAAAAAAAAAGACAAATCTAATTTGGCATTTCTTTTTAATGCTGCCATGATTATGATTGTGTGAATGGGTGCCATGCCGAAACACCCACGCTAAAAGTCCCATAATGATGTAAAATCTTGGACATTCTTCGTAAAGGCAGTCCTTGTTGACCGAGCAAATGGTGGTGGCCCAATGAAATACTGTACACTTTTTGAATAACGGTAAACGTGTGACAAATTTCTATGTGTTGCCCTTCAAACTCTCTAAATGATCTGTTCCGTAAACCCATTCCACTCTCGTCTTGTAATTGTAATAAATGGTAAAAAGACAATATTTCTGACACGTGAGAAATAACACCATATAATTTGCTGTCTGCTGGTATGGGAATACAAAATGGCTGCCGCATCATGGCAGTTCATCTCACAGATCCCTCTGGTGCATCGCAACAACAAAATGAAACATTAACGATAGTCAGCTCACTGGGCTCCAATGTTGGCAGATCGCGTGGCTAATATCTCCAAAATTGACGTACTTAGCCCACTTGCAAAGGGACGCCCCTGCATCTCACATTTGGTGTGAATAAATGTAAAATACTGTGCAAACTGCTTTTATATTTTTACAGGTTCAAGTAGACAGGAGCACGAATGTGCATATGAATTTTGGTCACTCTCTCAAACACTAAACCAAGCCAGGAGGAAACAACATTGCTATGACTTAGACATCCTGACATCGAAAAAAAAACCCTCCAAGCTACGCACCAGAATTTGGCGGGCCAATCTCTCGTTTAACTCATCACAAATAAATCCCTTAAATCACTAAAGATTATTTTAGGGAGGTGAATTTTATTACTGACATTATTGCATCCATCGATCCATTATCCGAGCTGCTTATATACTGTAGACCAGTGGTTCTTAACCTTGTTCTCAGTACCGAACCCAACCAGTCATATGCACATTCACCGAACTCTTCATTACTGAAAAATTAAAATGATTTTTTTTTACAAATTCAAGACATTAAAAAACGTATTTATTAAAAAGAGAAAAAAAGTAAACAGAATTAGTATTAGTATAAAGTATACGCGCACAAAATGAACCAGCCAGTGATGGCCAAGTGGGCGTATCATAACTAATTGACACGTTGAGTCGGGGGTGTCGCATCCTCCATGGCAGGGGCTCTGTCGAACCCCTAGGATTGATTCACCGAACCCCTGGGGTTCGATCGAAGCCAGGTTAAGAACCACTGCTGTAGACCTATTTTATATATTTTAAGTGCCAATGTTCAGCCCATCCAAATGTCCCTTAAGGTTAGGGGGGAAAAAAAAAACAACCAAAAACAAACTGGAACTCAACATGTACTAATTACAGGGCTTTGTTGTAATAATAATAACATTGTCAAATGATGAATTGCTGTGAAACCACACATTTTAATTGACATTTCCAAACTACACAGAAACAACCATGACACCATCAAGCAACCCATGATTGCAACACTTTGTCAAATGACACATCATGATGACACGTTCAACGGTCAATAGACAAAGCCAAATGTCATGTCACATGCACACTAGACATAGACAGTGCGCATGACGAAATTTTTTGGGGGCACAAATGGAACGCCATAGAAATCTGATCAGACTAAAAAACAAACAATATAGCCCACAAACGTTTGGATCTGAAGCTATTCAGTCAAGAAACGATATGAAACAAAGACAAAAAGACTGTTGGAAGTAAATTATTAGTTGTACATTTAAGTTTTAAAAGTAGGTCTGTGCTTCTGATTGTGTTGGGGTACACAGCGAAAGCTTTGAAAGCCATGATGGTGTAGCTTTCAAAGCCACTGAATCTTTTAAATGGTTGGGTGTGTTCAGAGTAGGTCAACACAAAGGCCTCAAGGGTGTGGGACCCGAATTAAAACACCAAGAGGACATTATCTTATGGCACCACCTTTTCTATGAAACATATCATCATCTTCATGGTCAACTAATTCAAAAAATATTCCGATGGCACGATTGCAACAATCAACATTCCAGTGCTGACATATAAAAAGGGGTTGCTCTTCGCTGGGTCGCTATCATCCTCAGCATCCGGCATAGTGACTGTAGAGGTAACATGACACATATTGACATCCTTTGTAAAGATTACTTTTTTTTCAAGGTTTTCATTGGAATATTAGTCTGACTCTGAGATTTAAAATATTTTTCTGTCATTACGCAGATGGCATTCGCACTTCGCTTGTTGCTCCTCGTTTGCGGAGTCAGTGGACTGTTGACTGGAGTTGTAAGTCAAATCCTCGCTGCCGGTTTCAAACGCATCTTGACTGTTTTGTATGTTTTATTGCTGTCTTCTTTTGTCACTTGCTTTCATCGATGTCAACTAATGAATGACCATTAATCCTAAAGAAAGCTAAGTTATCAATATACATCCCAGTGGGCCTCTGATGTCACTTGAACATCAATATGGCAATCTTCAACATCAAGTGATGTCATATCGATTGACATCAGAGGCCCAATGGCATGCGGACGAGTCTTAAAAGTAATATCACGTTTAGAGTAAAAATGTGGAATGCACTGCCGACACATATCATACAAGAAGACAACAAACATCGATTGAAGACATTACCGAAAAAATATTTTATATCAAGCCTGGCTTTCTGCTGATGTCAATACACTTGGGAAATTCAGTGAATGAGAGCTCGCTCCCGTACTGTACTTACGTGTTGTGATTGTTGTATGGTGGTTGTCGTTTTTTTTTTTTTTTTGTACTAATAATGTATTGCATTGTAAAGATAACAGTGGAAGTGGACTGCCAAATCTAACGGAGATCCTAAGAAATGAAATGAAATTGGTGTCAAATTGCATGCTTTTGTTCTTCACAGTGGTCAAGGAGAAACAATCACGAGAAATGGCGTAAGACATTTTGCAAGGCTACCAAATTAAATCAATTGATGAATAGATTATTTGTTCCGTCAGCATTTGATCTCATATTTAAGCGATATATCTCGTTTTCTTCTTCCAACAATAAATTGTGTCGCAGACAATTCTTGTCCTAAAGGCTGGACTCGGCTGGGCGGTCGCTGTTTCGTCTTTCAAGACCACCGCTTGGAGTTTGCCGATGCAGAGGTATGGACAATGTTCACACAGTCGTTGTGCTTTTGCGATAAGTAGGCATGTGCCAATATTAGATCCTGACGGTATGACAACCGTGAGCAAAAGTATCACCGTATCAAAAGTACAGCTCTAAAATGACCTTTGGGTAAATAAAAACAGCACCCCCCCCCCCATTGAACACAATATATTTTATTTCTAAAGAAAAATATAGAATATTTGGGATAGGAGAAAGGCATTCAATGCTAAGTTTCATTAATTAGATTAATGTTAACATTCTTCTGTTTTAATTCTTCTTATAAGTCATAGTGTTCCATCACTGGTGAGCTATTTTGACAAGAGACCCGTGGACTATTCATGTTGTCCTTCGGGCTAAGTAGTACCAGCTGGCGTCATTTTTTAGGACAATGCATATTAGCAGACAAAAAAAAAAAAAAAAAAAAAGGCATCGGTGTTTGCAGTGTCTCTTTTGTCTTGCTCCCTCTCTCGTCCTCCTCCATGTGTACCGCAACTGCTTGCTGAGAAGGACAAAAAAAAAAAAAGTTAATTGGGAGGCGATTAACTTCAAAGAGGCTCACCTCCTTCTCAATTCTGCAGGCAGCCAATCCTATTTTGTCCCGCTCAGGCGTCCCCATCAAACCTGTCACTGGCCCATTTCTCGCACTTAAACCAGTTTTCTGATTTAAGTTGTGATCCAACTGGTTGTCTGTTGACTCTCGAAATATCACGATTAGATCTGAATCAAATTTTCTACATTCATGATCTGGACAGGATGACAACCAGCCTTGAGTCTTTTCTGACCTCGACTTTATTTATTTAGCGCTTTGACAGCAACCACATTTATAACAAAGTGCTGTAAACAAATCATAAAATAACAAACACAATTATAAAATGACTCCCCCAAATCCTCTTCTCCATTCAAAAAAAAATAAAACATAGCTACCCCACTCACATTAGCACGTTGCAGAGTGCAGATTCATTCCCACTTGTTGACGTGACTCGTGTTTGCTACAAGAAAACAAGCAATGGTCGTTTTTTTTTTTTTTAAACAACCGAAAGTTTGTCCGTTGATGAGAAACAAGTACAGAAAGAACAGTTGAGCTCGTGAACTTTAGCTTTCCATGAGCTTCATTGAATGTTTTCTCAATGTTTTTTTTTTTTTTTTTTAATTGGCTTGTTATGTTTCCTCATGTAGACCGTCTGCAACATTCTTGGTGGGAATTTAGCCTCCTTCCACAGCGCTTTGGAATATGCCGCAGTTCTCGAAGTGATTCGGGAAGCCTCGGACCCAACTGTCGATGTGTGGCTCGGACTTCACAAGACAATCGAGGTGCGACACGTCCTAATTCTTCAAACAACTGACAAAAAAATGACAGCCAGGAAGAATGACGTGTCACTAACTATTGCCACAAGCATAAAGCGACATTTTCTGCAATGATATTAATGTTTACAACATACTATTGAAGAATATATAAAAAATAATAATAATAAGGCTTGATGTCATATTTTTGAACTGATTGGTGTTGAGGCTGGGAATCGCTGAGGTGATGCTGGCACTATTACTGTTTCGATGACTCAGCACTTTTGTTCTAGACATTGTTTTTATACTTCTGTGGTGTGTAACTATGAAAGACAAGTTTAGTGTATCGGAACTCTGTTTGGTTCCAGCATTACCCACAAACATTCCAAGGATTGGGGTGTGGGAATTCCCCGCGAGCCCTCGTCATGCATGTTGATGTCACAAGTGTATGAGCTACTAGTTTTTCAGCATTACACACTTTAGCTCTGCTTGATACTTTGCACATTGTCTCACAGCTGTCATTGGGTGGTACCACCGCATGACGGTACCCTTACGTTACGGAACGTCTTTCCATACTTATTTGTCATGTCCTTGTTTATGATGGTACTAGTGTAGCCTGGACTACCGGAGACAATGTGTTTTCTACATACTTGGCCAATAAAGATGATTCTGATTCTGGTGAGAGAAGATGTTGAGTTTCTGTGACCCTAAAAATGCATGCACTGCCATGATCAACATGTCTCACGTTATGACAAGCATACATTTCCTTTGGGTGGTGACAAATTTGTCCCTTTGTCTTCCAGGATGCCTTCTTCTGGACCGATGGCTCAGAATTCAATTTCAACGCCTTTAACAATAACAACAACCCTGGAGATTGCTTTGAGATTGAACGCAGCGGTAAATATCCTGTATCGTTACTTTAAGAGGGATCATGGCTACTTGCATGTTTGATCGAAAGTAATATTACTGTCTTGGGTTTTATTCTAGACGATCTCTGGGACAACGACAACTGCGGCGACAGGAACACGTTTGTTTGTGCCAGACGTGCTGACCAATGCAGCCACTGATGAGCCGGCCGACCTTCATAAAATCGATCGTGTCTGTGTTCTTTAATATCTGTGCTCTCATCGTATTCTTTGATTTGCTAGACGGTCTGTACTTTTTCGAACCACCGACTTATTCATTTATTGCTGTCAGTCAAATACGTTTGACAAAGCAGGATAAACAAATGTCTGTCACACAATAGAGCGTTTTTTTTCTTTCTTTTTTTTTTTTTGTGTGAGGGATGTCGCATTCAATTCATTGCAGTTCAAAAACTGAAAGAATGCCGTTTCGCAACCCGCATTTTTATTCATGTGACATTTAAAAGCTCTCACGGCAGACCCCAAAGCAAAAAATGTCACAAAAGTATATAAGGTGAAATACGGAGGATCTTATCTTGAAACTCAAAAACTGACTTCCTCAGTGTGTCATAACTGTATGCCTGGAATTACTCGACTGTGTGTCCTCTCTCTCTCTCTCTCTCTCTCTCTCTCTCTCTCTCTCTCTCTCTCTCTCTCTCTCTCTATCTCTATCTAAATATGTACACTGAATATGACGCTATATATTGAGGTGTGATCTTTTCTCCAAGCCCTGTATGAGTTTTCTCTTCTCACCGTTCACACTTTCTGAAAATAAATTGGGTTTTTGGTTTTTATATTGTTGTTGGGGTTTTTTGGTGTTGATGTTGTCTATGCGAGAAAAAAACAAAAAGTTTAAATCATTCAATGACTGCACTTTATTTGACTCCAATTCGTCAAACTAAAATGCACTTGACTCAGACTGTCACCTAAGTGCCTTTTATCACGTTCAATATTTCGGTGATGTCAGTCTCAAATTTATTTCCGTATTAATCTGCCGAGTCTTTGTGAGAAGGTGCCACTTCTGCAGCAATCAAACCACTGAGTTGGATTGAAAATACTGTCGACTTGTCTACTGAATTAATTGAATTGAGTCAGACGATGCCTGCGGTTGTTGTGTCTGTGTTCGTGTGCCTGTGAACTTCTTGGGTAAATTTTTATTTTTCATGAAGCATTTATTCAAAATTGATCATCCAATCATTTTAAAGTCTCAAGAATTGATTTTGGAGGTAATCATTCAGTAGTTCACAACTGTCAACGCTGAAAAATGACTTGCTTTTGTACTCTAATTGGACCTAATGGCATTGTTGAGTGTGTGCTGACGTTTGTTGGCAAAAAGATGCTCTGAAGTCAAAAGATTTGGCACCATGTTTCGCCTCATCTGCATAGTTGTCAAATTACTTGCACCTCTCTGCGTGGATACCGCATTTGACTCCTCAAGAGACGCTGCAAACTGATCTAAAAAGAACGCTTCTTTGATTCTCAGGATCAAGTGTTCCCATTGCAGAGGTAACACTGCACACTTTGACATCTTGCTTCTCCAAATCAACTCCATGCGTACCTTTTGCAAGTTTTTTTTTTTTTTGAACACATGTTTAACTCTGATATTGAAATCCCTTTTCTGTCATTGCCCAGATGGTACTCACAATTTGCTCATCGTTCTTCCTTTGTGGGATCGGTGGACTCATGATCGGAGCTGTTAGTCAACCTCAGCTGCAAACTCAAACACACTGTTTCTATTGTGCTCAATTTAAAAATGTTTTTTTTTTTTGTAATGCCGTCTTCATTTGTGCTCATTTTCTGCAATTTGATTTCAACAATATTCTCTTCTTCACAGTGGTCTAAACCAGTGTTTTTCAACCCCTGTGCCGCGGCATACCAGTGTGCCGCAAGACGTTGTCAGGTGTGCCGCGGGAAAATATCCAATTTGTATGCCTGTGCAGTGTATCGCCCAGAAAGTAATCGTGTAGTACCCTCCCATACCGCTAGGAAGCAGCAACAGCTAGCCAATTGCCTTGTGTTTCGACGAGAGACAAGCGAATTTGTGACGCATGAATGCAGGACGACGGTGAAACAATAAATATGAAAGATGAGAAAATACTTTTTTCTTTGTGTTCATTTGATTCCAATTCAAGCTGTTATAATGTCATTCTTCGATGCTAAAAACGGTTATAGTAACAATATAACACATTAATTATTGAAATAAGCGTTTTTTTTTTTTCACATTTTCAGCTAGTGGTGTGCCGCGAGATTTTTCCATTGAAAGAAGTGTGCCTTGGCTCAAAAAAGTTTGAAAAACACTGGTCTAAACCAATCAGCCAAGAGAGAGGTCAATAAAACAATTTCTCACTTGTTTCTTCTTTTGTCATTTCATCCAGGTTGAATCAAATGATCCCGTTTTCATCCCAACCCCATTTGTGTTGCAGGCACCTGCTGTCCTAAAGGTTGGACTCAGGTAGACTGTCGCTGTTTCATCTTCCAAGATGAGGAAAGGGAATTTGCAGATGCGGAGGCATGAAAGACTTGCACACAGAAATTTCACTGTGGCGCTAAACCTGTGAGCTACTTTCGCAAAGCAGCGAACTGTCGATTTTTGTTTCTACTTTGTAGAGCGTCTGCAACATTCTTGGTGGGAATCTGGCCTCGGTCCACAGTGCTCTGGAAAATGCCATGATTGTCTAGTTGAATGCGGCAGGCACTTCTGCTTCCAGTTCAGACATTTGGATTGGACTCCACGAGGCAATAGAGGTGAAACCCTTTTCAATTCTGAAAATAAATTGACAACAATTGTAAAATCGCTTCAGTTCCAAATGATGTCATGCTGCCTTCTAAATTTTGAACAGAGCCAAGACAAGCTCTTTCAGGGGGCCCCTTATAGTGCGGCATAAGTCACTCGTTATTTCAGGTAAAAATGCATGTGCTGGGTCGAACACTTGCGAAGTTTGAATCAAAGCTAATTGAGTGACAATTCAGGGCACCACTGTGTGACTGACGGTTATTAATGGCACCATTGTTTGGGTTCTGGTCTTTTCCAGTCTTTCACAGCAGTGGTCCATCCAGTGATCCAGTCACGCTCATGTCAGTCATCTTCGTAGCACCCATTTGCAAACACTTCTCCTCGCTGTTATCTTAAAAGCCACAAGGTTTTTGCGTCTTCAACATAATCAGTCACATACACCCCGTCACACCTCGATTCTGTCCATTAGCAATTCTCAACACGCAAAAATCTGCGCAATAAAGGCCAAACATTTCCCAGCACTTTAATTTTCTTTTTTAAAACCCCTGTGCAATGCAGGTACACTTATGTACACCTGACATGCGTTGTGTTGCAAAAACAAATGCATGCCATGCATGGGTTTTAAACCTGTGGCATGCATTCGTTTTTACAACACAACGCATGTCAGGTGTACATGAAGTGTACCTGCATTGCACGGGGGTTAAACACTTGTTACGCTCCTACTCACACTTGGACTGATATCATTGGAGTAAATTTTACCTCCTCATTATAACATTTCTCATGCACAATTTTCAGCATTTTCTAATATATATATATATGTATATATATATATACACACACACACACACACACACACACACACACACACACACACACACACACACATTGTGGGTATTTGTTTTAATATTTTAGTTATTTGTTATTTATTCTGATTGTTTTTCTTCCATTTTTTTTTTTTTATAAGAGTTATTCATGCTCTATTTTTCATTCTCCTCTTGAAATTTGACACGTCCTACAAAGGCTGTTTCGCAAGGGGCTATAAATCTTGAGACATTCACTCACTCTCTGGTATATCACTTTTATTTAGGCAGTTTTTTTTTTTTTAATTAGTATACCCTCGATAGCACTCAATATCTACCTGAACAAATGTGAACAGATAGCTGAAGTTTGAAACACTCACTCACCCTCAGTATAGTGCTTTGGCCTGTTTCTCGAATTACGTCCAGACACTCCCTCACCCAATGTCCTTTCCTTCATTTTGGCATTTCCAACACCACACACAATATTTTGTTCCTAAATTTGAAACCCAAATCCCATTCCTGGCCCTCAGAAATGTCAACAATCTAGCTCCTTCAGGAGTCGGGAGAAATAAATCGATTAAAGGAAGACTTTCTACTTTCGCAATTTGTGGGCCCAGTTGAACTGAAGACATTTCTGTGAGGTTAGGCGAGCATCAGACCACGAGATCATGGCACCCGTCGGAAAGTTCTGGTGAACTTCTACTGGTCCTTTTATCCTTAAAACTCGCAATATTGTATGAACAGTAACTACCAGAGGACGGTATATTCTCAGTTGAACTATTTTATGGATGCTGGAAAAAAAAATTACCAAGTGGATATTGATTTTAATGAAGTGTAATGTACTTGTCGATCGTGATGGTACAACACAAAATCTGTTTTGTCAATTGGAGTAAGGTTGAGAGAGCTACGCCACACAGAATTTTAATTAGTTTGACCAAAAGGGACTTGGCTGCCTTCCTTTGAACCCTTTTATCTCAGGAACTTCTGGGTCAATTTTCACAAATTAGCTAATGGTGGAAAGGGAATTCAATAAAGATTGCAAATCTGCAAGCGTTTAGAAGATTGGTGCATATTTTAGTCACTTGACCTTTTGACCTTGAAATTAAACTTAGGGTTTTCTGGTGGCCTTTACAATATTTTTCATGAAATATAACATCTCACATGCTCTGTAAAAGGTTTCAGAGATTTTTTTTTGCGGGGTGGGTTAGCAGCTATAAGGAGACAAAATATCAATACCCACAGATTTGCAAAGAATACAAAACCTGCTGAATAAAAAGTTTCATTAAGAGGACCGTTCATGGTCTCCGGCTGCCTCAGGTTGAGATACTAACCCGGTTGATCGCAGCTGGTTGGGAGAGCCTCTGAGTTTGGGATTTAAAGGGGAAAAGCATGGTTTTATGGCACCCAAAAGTCCTGAGCTGACTTTGAATGGACGTTGTCATGGAAACCAGCTATCCTGAGGGCTGTTACAGCATCTGTCAGCACTCGAGAAGCTTCACTGTGGACCAGCCCTCGTGTGTTTCGAGACTTGTTGCAGCAGCGTGGAAGTCGATAGCGACAACAATCCTGTCAAGATGCCACAGGAGCTCGTTGCTGTTCTTCAGCCTCAGCTGGTGTCAGGAGATTTGGAATATGCTCCTAATCAAGATGTCAAACTTTGACAATCATCCCGCACGCTCAGCACGGCCTGTTATATTGTGACAAACATACACGCGTGCATTTCAATTTTGGCGTGACTCATTGAAACGTGTTCCTTTGCCTTCCAGGAAAGCACCTTCTTCTGGACTGACGGCTCAGCAGTTGATTTCACTAACTTCAACTCTGACAACGCAAAAAATAATACCGTATTTTATATATATAAGGCGCTTCGGAGTATAAGGCCTATTTGAAAAGAGTTTTCATCTATAGGGCGCACTGCATTATAAGAAATGAAGCTACAATCGTGGCTGCGGTTGCGTTATGCATCCACTCAATGCAGCTACGCTAAAAGAAATACAATACAATACAACTTTCGATAGAACCGTCTTGATGACAACAACTATTGAATTGCTATGTTGGGATAGAGACATTTTAAACTCTTGAGCAGAACATTTTATTTAATTTATCTGTAACACGTTTTACATAGTTGTTGGATTTGTATTATTTTTACTTGGAGAGGCCTTTTACAATTGAATTGGATTTATTTTACTATATTTCAAATCGATACAACGTGTGAACTTTGGGTTTGTTCTTTTTTTTTCATTTTTAATAATTGTTAGATTTGCACAACTTTTTTCCCCAGCCAGTTGGACTTTTCCAGTAGTAGTTTGCAATTTCATATATTGTTCGAAATAATTATATTGGAAGAAATAAAGGAAAAAAGACAGGGAATTTAAAATGTGTTGAGGTGGGATAGGTTAACCCATCTGTTGGGCGGGTGTCATGAGACGAGAGAGAGACAGCGAGAGACAGAGTGTTAAAAAAAATAAATAAATAAATAAATAAATATATATATATATATAAACGGTTGGGCTCTAGCGTTGCCTACATCATAAAATGTGTCCGTTTATTTATACGTGAATTCTGCTCTCCGTTCCTTTTCAAGAAAATGATCTGTGACCCTGTGGTGATATAAGTCAGTCTGCGAACACAAGCAACTACAATAAAACCCACCAGAAATAAAAGATTATATAATAAAAGTGTCGCCAAAATTATTAGAAGTCTCCAGTTCAACTCGGAACAAATTGAGAATTGAGAAATGCTCCCATGGATGCCTACACCAAAAGATCGATGATTGGCTCATTTCGCTGTCAATCAAAAAGAGATTCAGCCTCAGACAGATCATCCAATCACCATGCAGCAAAGCTCAGCGTCCGGGCGGGGCCGATACACGCCCACTGTACAGAGACTTCCAGAGACGCTGAGCGGCCGATGGGCGGGACAAAACCAGCATTTATCCAATGACTCATCTCGTTTCAATGCATTGGGACAACCTATTCTGAACTCTCTCGACGCCTAGTGTACGCGCTGCAGACGCTCAGCGTCCACACAGTTTAAAGCACAGTGAAGCCGGGGGAATGAATGAGAAGAGAGTCGCGTTGTAACCAGTAATAAGAACCTGATTCAAAACAAAAATTGAGCGCGTTGTAGCGCATATTTAGTCAATGACATGTACACACAATTGTATGTACACACATATATTTGATCACTTACTTTTTGACATTTAAGGGGAAGCTGAGCTTCCCTTGCAGTCTTAGAGCAATATATATATGGAAGGAGAAAATCATCTTAATTGGAACCACTTACCTTACCCGTTATAAATGTGGACTCCT